CTACGAAGATGTGACTGCCACTCAGCCCCGGGCGACATCGCAAAGGGAGTCGAGGGTGAGGTACCATGCACTCTCGCCGTGGGGAAATTGAACTCTGGTATTGCTATGTTTAGTGCGAAGACACGACAATAAAAAAAAGGTAATAATTAGCGAAAAAAAGTGAAAGCCGTTTACAACTCCCTGTAACGCCGAATTAGAGCGCAGCTCTTGAGGAGGAGGAGGGAAGGGTACTGGGGGGGGGGGGGGGGGGGGGGTCACGTGACGATGACAATGCCGATGATGTCATCACTGACGTCACTGATGACGTCATCAGTGACGATGACGTCATCAGCGACGATGACGATGCGGATAACGATGACGTCAGTAGTGACGGCACTGATGACGTCATCAGTGACGATGACGATGCGGATGCCGGTGACGACATCAGTGACGTCACTGATGACGTCATCATTGATGATGACGATGCGGACGTCGGTAACGTAATCAGTGACGTCACTGATGTCGTCAAGTGTGATGACGATGACGATGCGGACGCCGCTGACGTCATCAGTGATGATGACGGTGCGGATGCCGGTGACGTCATCAGTGACGATGACATCATCGGGGGGTCACGTGACCTCGGGGAGGGGGTCACGTGACTTCGGGGGGGTCACGTGACCTCGGGGAGGTTCACGTGCCCCCCCGAGGTCAGGTGACCCCGGGAGGGGGCTCGCGCGGTGCATTATAGGACATTTTTCATAATGCACCGCGCGGTTACGCCGACGCCGATGCCGCTCAAGCCGGAAACGGGCGCCTAAGAGCTGCACTCTAAAAAACTGTGTTAGGTCGCAAAACTCTCTCCATCCAAGCTGCTGACTTTAGCTTTCATAGTTACCGGCTTCAATATCAAGCTACGGTTACGGGGCGCAAGCCCGATTCAATTCGTATGCATCCACCCATTCATCCATAAACGTTCCGTCGTAGCCTTCTTTAGCTAGGTGGCATAAGCTGTTGCCTTATTCGAAAATTCAATGCGTTCATTCGGATCCATTCATATGGGCTGTGGCTATGTTCAACACCGCAAGGAGCTTGTTGTGAGAAAAAAGCTACACCTGAACGCATGGCCCTTGGACAATAGAGGCTTCGCGATGTTTGTGTTGTAGAAAAGGTGTGAACTTCGGTGCTGGAGGTTAGACTGACGCGCCTGGGTATTTCGTTCGGTTCTTCAAGATTTTTTTAGATTTGTTATGGACCTGCTAGTTACAAAACATGAATGGCAGTATTTGTATACTCAAGGACTGTGCACTGATTCGAGTACAAGCCAGTAATGACTAACGAAGTCGGTACTCTTCACACATCACACTCATCCGTCGTTGTGTTTTAAGTGTTTACGTGTTATGTTTGTACAGGCCGAAAAGAAAGAGAACTTCGTGCTCCATGTTGCGAACCCTGAAAGCCTAATCTTTTCGTCGTAAGTTGTAAAAAAAAGTTCCACTAAAGGAAGAGTAAACTGGAAGGCGCGTACACGGCGATAATTTACGGTGCTCAGCTGTTGCACGTACTTGGCTACCGAGCCCCGCGCACGCAGTTTGACAAATTTTTTTAAAGCCTCCTTTCGTCGTCTCTCCCGTTTCTTTTTTTAGACAACACACTCACGCACAGACGCGAAGCTTCCCAAGCTACCGACGGCTTCTCCCCAAACTCTTGGGAAATGATGCCACGTTATCAGGACCCCAAAAGCGTGATAAACAAAAAGAGAAGAAACAAATAAATCGAAGGAGGAAAAAAAAAAAACGAGCAGTATATAGTTGGCTAGGGGTCATTTCGAAGCTCGTAAAAAACGTTCAGTGCAGCGCGCGTTAAGCACAAACACGGGCGAGTCATTCGAAATGGCCTCAAGATGGCTTCCCTTCCCTTCTCTAACGTGAGCCGCACGCCGACGCTGTCTCGCAACACCCTCTCGCGGCCGGAATCCTGGCTCTTTGGCCGCATTCGTTTCGCTGGCGAATTCCAGCCTCGCGACGTATAAATAAGTAACGGATAGGCGAGCACTCTTCCCCCCCCCCCCCCTTTTTTTTTTGTGCGTGTGTGTGTATGCTGTCTTTTTCTGGAGGTTTGACGCTCTTCGCTCGTGCTCACAGGCATGTGTGTGCGTGTGTTTGTCCGTGCTGTGTCGCCTGCTTTCTGTGTATATTGGACTTTGACGCACGTCGTTGATGGCGACGTTCGTAAATTACGAGTTTAATTAGAGTCGCGTAGCCCGAGAGACCGCCTGAAGAAGTTTCCAAAAAAGGCTTGGGAAGTTTTTTTTTTTTTTTTCTCTGTGCCCGGGTTGGTCTCGGAAGCCGTGAATGAAGCCTGACTGTTTGAAATCGCGGGGATGCCACGCTCCCGGAGACGTCTGTATGCAACCCGCCTCCTGGCTCCTCTTCTAATTATGTGTCCCAGCTCTTTTCCCCTTTGCGGGGGCCAAGGCTTTTTGTTTATCGTCTTTGGGTATTCCTCGTTTTGTGCCGCTTTTGTGTGTAGGTTTGTTATAAAGGTATGGAAAAGGAGCGCTCTGTTTAGTTTATATACGCAAGGCTTAGTGTCTCTCCTTTCTTTTTCTTTACCGCGATAGCAGTCAGTGGGACACCTCGCGTGTTTCGCGCGTCGACCGCGCTCCACATTGACGCGGAGCATTTTGGGCACTCCGCCAAAAGATTACCACATTGACGTCACTCCACTCGACACCACCTTAACGTCACACCGCGCATCACGTCTCCCGTTTCCTGGCGTCAGCTAACACCATGACGTGACGTTGTCATGTGAAGTCACGTTGCACTGTGACGCCACGCGACTTAATGACGCCAGGTGACACCGTCAGTCACGTGATGTCATGACGTCACGTGACGGAGTGACGGCTCGTAGAAACATAAACACGAAGCTGTTGATAATAAAAACAAAGTGTTTTCTCTAATTATGCCAGAGAGGTTTTCGGGCGATAAAACAAACAAAGCTAGGTGGGTGTTAAGCCGGCGAAACTACTGGCGTGAAATTAGGTGGATCTACACGTTTGAAACTTAAGTGCGCGATTTTAAAAGTGGTGTTCAGTAACCACAAGGCGGTGTTAATTTGTGTCCAATAACATTGCATAAGACGTTCAGGCAGCCACACCAACGACAGGGAACGGTTTATGCATATATATGCAGTTCCCTTGTCCCCTGTATTTCAAACTTGGGCGCGCGATTCTTAAAGTGTTCTTCAACTACCACAAAACACTTTTAGTTTATGTCAAATAAAATTATTTAACAGGTTCACGAAATGCTCTCTACGTAATACACTCCCGTTGGTTCCAAAACGATACGAAATTTTTGTCCGGTCTGTTACTGGGTTCAATACGAAACACCCATCCGGACTCAATGATGCGCATTCGCACCTTTACCTTTTCATTCAGTCCATCTGCTCCGAAATTACACTTTAGCGACTCCGACGTCGAATTTCAGCTGTCGCTGTGTTTCACCTCACGGGTATTTTTTTTTTTTTTTTGTCTTTTTTCGTCCGGTTTTACTTTTTTTTTATATCTCTGTTGTCATCGCCGTTTTTTATTTCGCGAAAATTTTATTTGCGATATTGCTACACTTGGTACTCGAAACCTTATTAACTATCACTACCCCGACTCTTCAGATTTTTTTTTTTATGTTTGTTTGCGCATATGTGCGCCTGTCTGCGTAACAGCATGTACAGACATGTCTTCTCGGTAACATGTATGTTTTTTATACTTTTTTTTTGTATTTTTGTGTTTCCGGGCATGATCACTGCGTGCGCGCTTCTGTAATGGACACGAAATGCGATAAAATCACAATGACAACGAGCTTGCCTTTGTTTTTGTTTTCTTCTCTTCTTTAGAGGCAACCGTTGATATATCCGCACCATCCAAAGTTTTCTAAGCTATCGTTTCTTTCCCCCTTTTTGTGTGGGCTTCCTTCTAACTCCCGACAAACTTTTCCCTCGAACTTCCGAGCAGTTTGAGCGCCCCGTCCGGCTCATTTGACTTCCTCGTTCGAAGCATCGATGTCTCCTCTCGGCGAGACTCGCGATACTTCCAAGATTTCGTCCAAAATGTTTATTGTTTTCATGCGCTCTGTGCAAATGGCCTGAGGGAACACGTATAAATCCAGCCTTTTTTTTTTTTTTAGCGCGAAAAATGTTTTGTTGTGTTTTGTACTTCTTTCGCATGGTCTCGGAAAAAAAAAAAGGTCAATGAATGATTATTATTACCCTACTCAGCATCTTAGAGTAATTTACGACCCTCGTGACGCCCGCATTTTCATGAATATGGTTGTTCATCATCTTAGCCGTTCCTACGAAACTGTCTTGTTTTCTGCGCGAGAATCGCCTAGTTTAATGTTTTCCTGTTCTTTTTTAACTTGTAAACGGCGTTTCTTTTGTGTGTTTTTTTTTTAATTTTCTGTGACCTTAGCGGCGAAATATTCAGCACGTTCATCTTCGGAGAATGGAGCTATCCCTGTGTCGACGTGACGCTTCGCCAAATAGTGATTGAAGCGTCTTGAGCTAAATTTAGCTCTTTATTTTAGAATGGCTACCGAGTGTTTCATCAACGCTCACTGCTGCGATATGTGACGCGGTAGACCTAGACGTGAGGCGTCCTGCTACACCGACTGCTGACTGTTTTTTTTTTTTTTTAATGGTCATGCACAAGTGGTGCACTGAAATGAAAAGCGGAGATGAATGGAGTCAATCTCAGGGTTCCGATATCGCGTGAGTGAATCCCTCCAGTCATGGTACTTACTACTTAATTTTTATGATGGATCCGAAGCCGTTGTCTGCTTTTCTCCAACGCCTTGCATCAAACACCGTGTGCTTTTTGTTTTTTCCTTCTTTCTTTTACACTTTTTTTTTTTTGTCGTTTTAGTTTTGGTTATTTGTGTGACCGTGTACGAAACCTGTGTCGTTCGATTCCACCGCTGCCGGGCGGATATCTGGCTGACCCCCCCGTGTGTCGTTGTTGTGTTTTGCAGCTTCCGAATAGACAACACGGACCACATCATCGACGTGAACAAGGGGAACATCCCGTTCGAGTACGACCAGGTGAACATCATCTGCCCCGTGTATCGGACGGGAACCCGGGAAGAAGACGTCGAGCAGTACATCATCTACAACGTGAGCATACCTCTATTATCTTTTTTTTTTCTTTCTTATGTGGAAGGTGGAAATATAATAAGTAAGGAAGGTATACGCAAGATGGGGAAGTTGCAGCGTTGCGAAAACTAAAGGAACCCACGCGCACATTTGTAACGTTATAATTATGGAAACTGTAAGATCATGAAATTCTTATTTTAATTATTGTTCATTATTATCTAACATTAGTCGTCACCGTGAACGCCCTTAAGTTCATCGCAATTGCTTTCTGATATTACTGAGTAGCCTGTCCCGCTTCAGTGATTGACTGGATTTCAAGCTAGAGCAGAAATGAATCCAATTGCAACGTTAATACCTGAATCACTACCGTCTAATCGGAAGTATTGATCGATATAATTTTACTATTGATAGAGACGAGCCTTTACGAACGTTCATAATTCTAGATTGCTGTTTTGGTGGCATATCGTCGCAACCCGTTGGAAACATGAGAGCTGGAAATAGAGCATCGTGCGGTTCGCGGTTTGACTTCGAAAGATCAAAGTACAAAGTAGCCTTACGCATATCTGTGCTTGTATCAGCAAGCCCCTCCCTCCTTTCAGAAAGTGTGGGCCTATCAGACTAAGTATATACTTCAAGGCTCACCGAGCTTCTTTGCAATATAAGATCAAGTTTACCGAGAAGAAATAAATGTTTTAAGTAGTTTCCATGCCCGAAGGGCACAGTGTAGATGCAGTCGCGTCCCAACCCAACTAAAATGGCGTGCGTTCGGATGACGTCACATGAACTTTAACGCGTGAAAGGGGAGAAGCACCCCACGACAGAGAAGACGGGCGGCGCTGCGCTAGGAGCTCGTCATTAAAGGTGGGGTGGACACCGACCGTACCTGGAAAATTAATTTTAAGGCGGGATAGACTTTCGCAGCTCAAAAAACGCCGCCCGCCAAAAACGGTTCAAAAAAAGGAAAAAGATGGCGCTCGCCGGGATCATAAATTGTCCGGCGAAGTGCTCTAGGGATGAAGGCGAGACGGGGCCGGTCGCTTTTGAGCCGTTCATTATTCACGCGGTCATTTGAGCAAGGGAGCGTGTTGCCGCTAACCGCCTGTTCGTCACCCCGAGTGCGGCCGCGCGCCGCCCCGCCGCTGCTGCAGGCCGCCGAGAAAGCGCTCTCTCTCGCTGCATGGACACTGGAAAACTGGAAACCGCCGCCACGTGTAAGGGGATAAGACGGTTTCGCGTGACGTCTTCCTGCAGGAACTCTCGCTAGATTCTAGAGTGGGAAAGTTTTATGTTTATGGCGGTGGTCGTTTCCGCTCCAAGTTAGAAGTTGAGATAGTGAGTACAAGATAGCGAATTAAGATACAACGGGAAATAGGAAATTAAATGTATTTGCGAGGTATCAAAATATGACGAAAAGTGCTTGAAATATGGCATTTTGAGTAGAGTTTTTGATGTAGGCTCAGGTGTCTTGAGTAGTAGTAAATGTGGAACCCTGTATCATGTTGACTTCTTCTTTTCTGTGAATGGAGGCGGTTTTTTCCTGAGCCAGATTTGTTTGGGTTGTGATCGACTGCTGCAGCCGTAATACTCAGTTACTGAAAGAAGCGTCGACTGCTAGTCGATTTTTGCAAATCCCGTTTTTTGGCGTTGGTAAACCTATGCGATTTACCAACGCCGAAAAAAAAAAAAAAACGGCGCTGATTGGGAATCGCTTACAGGCAATACGGGATGGATGGCGTAAAAGATTCGCCAGCATTTCCGCACTCAGCCCCGTGGAAGGGCGATCCGTTTGGCTCCTGCTCTAAGGAGGAGACCTCATCGAGCCACGCGTGCATGTTATGGAATATCTTATTGGTCGCACCGGCTGCAACCTTCAGCGTAGTCTGTCGAAAACCCGGCACAGCGGGACTCTTGGCAAAAGGCTAGTCGTGGTACAGGGCGAGAGATGCCTAGGTCCAGTGTAATTTCGCCGCCTCGTCGTCATATTTCAAATTGCCACTGGTCGAACGTATATTTTTTTTAATTTTGTGTTTGTGATATTTTAATGCGTATTTGTTTCCGTTCATGGTGACACTACTGCGATAGTACCTAGTGTAGGTTTATGATGGATGCCCGAGATAGAACCAAGTATATAGAAGGAAGGATAACACGGAAGTCAGTTTATTTATTTATTTATTTATTTTTGTATTTCAAACACCCTTAAGACCATGGGGGCATTGGAGAGGGAGTGGGTTACAGGTATAGATACAAGAAAGTGTAGTTCGGGGTATGAATTTTACGCAAGGGTAAGCATGTCTTGTATTGTTGATCAATGTGGTGATATGTAGAAAGGAGGTACTATCGCGGACAATATGAGCTGAAACAGCGCTCTGGCCGCCGCACGGTACTACCTGCGCCGCCTGTCGTCTTGATCCGCACAGATGGCGCACCCTGAGTACGAGATAAATTCTCACTTGCGCTCGTTGCGCCACTGCGCTCTTCCGGCCGTCTGCAAGCGAGACGGTGGGTGCGACAGCGGGCATGTGTGTAGTAGGGCGGCGGGGGGAACAATAAATTACACTTGTCATCCCTTGTTCGGTATATATTTACTTTACTCTATCGCGCAGAATCCCGTAGAAAAAGCGCTGACTGGTGAAGAAAAAATATTGAAGTTTCTTAAATTTCAGCTGCGATTATTGTTTTAAAATTCACATCACAAGGCGTTGCAGGTTGTTTTTCTTTGATTATAGGTGCATGCACAAAGTAGGACATCGCAAAATATTGGCCAAAATCTGTATGCCGGATTTGATCCGGCTCCAAGGTATTTTTGTTTTTATTGATCACAGATGTTTAAAATAAAAAAAAGGTAGGCATATACATGTTACTGAGAAGGTTTTGTAAGCTTGATTGGTATGAAAAGGGTCAAAAGTATTATTCCTTTATTACTGGGCCCACGTGTTTGTTTCAAACAAAACAAGTTGCTGACAAGACACCAGTTTTTCTTGTTTTTTTTTGTTTTTTTTGTTTACAAATTTCTGGTATTAATAAAGTGGGACAAACAGTCATATATTTGCCAGGACAAGGAGATTGAAACTTAATCGAAAGAATATTTGTAGAGGACAATGTCAAGACACAAAAGATTAATAGTCGGCGTGGAAATTCAACTGCACTATACAAGAAGATCGGGATCAAGGAGGCACCAGACAAAAGTATGCGTGGTTAACGCCGTCAAACAGTGTGTCGGAACCGTAGTATCAAGCTTTGTTCCAATCGGCAGTAGTCCGCTTCAGGGGGTCCTGAGGCACAGTATAACTTACAAAATAATTCAATACCGCGTCATTCTCCCCTGACCCGCAACCACGGCTTCCATCCTGTCTGGTAAGAAATCATAGGGCTCGGCCACGAAGTCTGCCTCAGCCCGAAGCCACTCCCATTCACCTCATTGCTTTTCACAATTTGTGGGCAGTGGCGTGGTGGAGGGGGACGCCATGGCATGGCTATCTTGATGCGCCTCCGAATGTTTTCGATGATATTAAGATTGGCTACTTTTGGGGGTTAAGTCAGCTACGTCAAGCAGCGCTCCTCGAGGAGATACGAGCGTGACAACGCATTTTCCACTTCGGCGTTTTCTTGAAATGCACTGAAATGCATGTCAGCTGAAAACGTGAACATTAGGCTTCACGGCAGAGGCATCGTGATGGTGGTACCGTCGACCAATATTTTCGCTAGCAGGCGGCCGGAAGAGCGCAGCGGCGCAGTGAGCGCAAGTGAGAATTTATCTCGGCCTCAGGGTGCGCCGTGTTTAGGGAGCGATGCAACAGGCGGCGCAGGAAGTGCCATGCACAGGCCGGAGCGCTGTTTCAGCCCATATTGTCCGCGATAGTACTAGTAGTTTTCCACGCAAAGGGGGATATGATAGATTTTGTGAAATAAACACAAACGAGGAAGTTCTCTACGTGATGCGAGGTTAGGCAGGTTCAAACTCCATTTCATAGATGATTGCGCTGGCAATGCGATGATAGCTAGTAAGTATGAAGCTAACTATTTTGAATTGCTTCAACTGCATGTGTCAATATGTCATTACCAAGGTCCCAAATTAAGGCGGCATATTCCAGTTTGGAGCAAACGAGAGTTTTGTAGAGAAGTAGCTTTAGAAACATGGGGACGGACGAAAAGTTTCCTTTTAGGAATCATAGCATACGGTTGGAATTAATGTTATGTATTGAATATTAATTCCCCAAGACAAGTTAGATGAAATATGTACCGTGTTTGAGAGTCCAATGCTGTCCGTCCTTTTAGTTACGTAGTTCCCTTAGTCTCTTGTATCCATCGTATGTCCGTAACACTATGAGTAGCGCGCCGCATTTGTATTACTGCTGCTTCTTCATTGTGCTGCATGAACATTTCCCCCGAGATGAACCAGAGAAGTGGTCCACAGTACTTAGGACAGATGAATAGAACATCGAAGCAATTAATAGAACAGCAAAGTGGCCACTATGCTGCTTGCTCTCTCTATCTCTCTCTACGCCCCCCTCTCCCTCTTCTCTCTCTTGCTCAGTAATGGGGAACCATGATTAAGCTTTTTTATAGGAAGTGATGAGTGTAAAAAGACAGTGAGGGCGAAGGCGAGCTGGTGGTAGCTAATAATATTGTGTAACACCTTAGACTGGTGGTACAGAAAAGGAAAACGTTTTAGTCGAAGAGACACAGAATTGTATTGTGGGTTTGACCGCATGGTCTCTTGTCAATGTGTATGTTCATTGTATTTGAAAATGCTTTCAACAAAGGAGATCTCAGCGTAGAAGGTGGTTGAGAGTTGCTGTGTGGGTGTGTATAGGATGCTTGAGAAATAAACCAGTTCGCTGAGTTTGAGACGTTCCCTTCTGTGTCTGTTCCTTCGACTAAAAGTTTTTCTCCTTTTTTGCACCAAAGCCTCAGGTGTTAAACGACATGATGAGTGTGTTGCTGCCAGTCACGAAACCAAACGTCTAAAAAAAATTGTGAGCAGGTAAGACAAGGAAGGACAGAGGAACAAAGACGTGCGTATGTTGTCCCCCGTCCTACGTGTTTATTCTTCCATATGTTTCACCTTGTGGCTCTTCTTCTGGCAGATAGGGTCCAGCTTCCTCCCTCTGTGTGACTTCATAGCCCCCTCCCCCTGACTGCAGGTGTCCAAGGAAGAGTACGACTCGTGCCGCATCACCAACCCGATGCCCCGCATCATCGCCGTCTGCGACAGGCCCCACCAGTTAATGTACTTCACGATCACCTTCCGATCCTTCACGCCGCAGCCTGGGGGCCTGGAGTTCAGGCCAGGGCAGGACTATTACTTCATCTGTGAGTCGCCTCGCCCTTGTCACTTTGGTCACTCCGTCTGCGCGCGGTTTGATACGAGTAAGATCACTGAGAACAGCTAATGCCATTAAAATGTTCAGGTTTGATGGTGTGCAACAGCCGTATCAATATCGGTCCTTTTAATACTGTTACTGTATCGTACATGTGAATCATCGAGGTAGGGAAGATTAATGACGGTAACCGAAACAATAGTACACGGGAGCTCATGGATGATCCAAGGAAAGTGCAGGCGATAGACCTGACGATTTACACAAAAATGTGCTAGCCCGCCATGAGACTTTGTCACTTTGCGACGTCAATGATGCCGTAACGGGACCCAAATATGCTGCCCAAGTTCCAATTCATGTTTCGCAGTTGAGCCTTCCATATTATCGAATTGGTGTTGTGAAACCTCAAACTGGGGCAGTCTTCATGCACTTAAGTCCCCGATAGGGTCTCTGCGTGAATGATGACTTTCCATGCTTTGTCTTTTAAGGAAGTTCTATTTTTTTGTGTGATTAATTATGGACCGGGAGAGTGCTTAAACGAGCCGTTACCTGACCTCTTGCAGCGACCTCTACGGGGGATGTGGGCGGACTGCACCGGCGAATTGGTGGCCGTTGTGCGACCCACAACATGAAGGTCATCTTCAAGGTGTGCTGCGACCCCAGCAAGAGTAAGCCCTTCTTTTTTTCTTCTTTTTTTATTGGGTGACAAGAATGGAGGATGCCTGGTAACCATTTTTTTATTAAGTTTTCAGTTAAGGTTCGGTTCTTTCCATGCCGTTGCTTTCTTTTCTTATAATTTTTTTAGTGCATGCTGACTTGGTCAACATCTAATTAATGTTTGTGCATTGTTAGGGTGTGCTGGAATCATAGTAATGCCCTCTACAAGCAGATTTTATGCACGATCTCGACCAAGATAACATAACTAAATGATAGATTCCTTGGTATACCGAACTCGGTATAGACCCCTTTCGGAAACGTGACAACTCTGTGCGCCACTGGCAGCAGTGTGCGCTCTCTCCATGGTGACGGAATATTTTTTTTCTTCGGCCCGCTGGCTCTGCGTGAAAAGGCGGCGTGGCAAATTCAATTATCGCGGTTCTGTTTCCCATCGCCGGCTGGGGAAATAACCTTCCAAGCTAGCTTGCTAGGTATGAAACCTGAAAAGAAAGAACTCTTTTCTTGATTTGCTGCAAGCCATTTGTGGAATCCACCAAGTGTCTAGCCCGCTAAACTTGTGTAGAAAAAGATGCCTTTAAGGAGCAGTTAATGCGGTGCTGTCCTAATATTGCATGGTAGCATAAAGTAACATGGCGTTAGTGGAAGTTTCAGTAACATAAAAAGATTTTCGAAAAATATGTCTGCAGAACAAAATTCTTTTCTTATTTCGTTTGGCACGCGTAATTTGTAAGCTCTTTCCTGACCTAGGGAAAAGTAGCAATTTTTTTTAAGGATCCGTGCAAACGCTTTTATTTTCCGAGCTAATATGCGTATGGGGCAATATGACACGTAAAAATATGGCCAATTAGTTTTTCTTTCAAAAGAAACAGGTTGGTAAAATGTGGAGGAAAGATTTTTAAATTTTATTTGTTTGAAAATACAATGCACGTGGGGAAGCCATATAAACGCCGACACTTTTACAGCTACTCAAATTAAATGGCAAATAAAAAACAAATTCAGAATATACAAAATGTGCCCCACACCCACGGCTATTACTTCTGAAAGTTTGTGTATTGTAAGTGGCGTTGTCTATTTTTGGTTCGTCGGAGAGTTAGCCTCCGTAACACGTGCACTTTTCAACAAAGGAATGCTTACATTGGTGAAGACAGATAGTACACTTCACATCCCAAGCAGAATGATTTCTTTGTGTTCTACCTTAGTTTTGTCATAGCCTTGATTGCAATTCCTTCATATTTGGCTTTTTTGTCCGCTTTGTTGGGAACATAAAACGTGTACGCCGGCTCAGGACAGCATTGGGAATTGTGGTGATGCTTACCGACAACCATCTGTTAAACGACTCTTATCAGATAATTTAAAGTGTCCCCAGAGCTCTTAAGGTCTAAAAGCTATGCCACAATACAGTTGAATTATGCAAGCAGTTGGCCGTATTAGACAAGTGCAACCAGCGTTCCCAAGAATACGTTTGACATCCCATTAACTTGTGATAAAGCTCAAACCTACGTTGAAATTGAAACTACAGTACTTCGGGTATCCACGAAATCGTGGAACACAATTCTCCGCACTAAATTTAATTTCTTGACGGCGCGTGGAAACTGTTGATCACCAGTGATCGATGGCCTATGGGCATGGCTAGAAAAGAGTTAAAGAGCACAAAACGTTCGCAGGACTGATACACGAATTCGACTGCTCGTTTAGCCACACCAACGGTATCTGTCTATCGAGAAACACAAAGTAAAGGTACAATGAAATAACAACATTAAGGAACTGCATGCAAAATCGTGAAGCTGGGTTAAACGACAGCGGATGCGGCGGGTAAAACCGACGCTCGTTTATCCTTGTCAAACGTATCTGTATAACAGCAGTAGTAAAGAAAACGCAAAGCAGTATATTGCTGAACCAATATATTAACCTCATTAAGCAAATGCGTGCGAATTCGTGAGGTTAGCCAAACGGCAGCAGCCGCAGACGGTCCGATGTGTATTCATTCCGGATTTGTCAGTGTATTTATACTACCCGGGACACAGCAGTGTGTTGGCGGCATCTTCACTGCTACTCTGGAACGCATAAGCTGTCCTTAAAACAACACATGAAGCGCCTAAGGCTCGAGTGGCACTCCGCGAGGTTGTGACCTGCTTTCCTTCACCATGGCACGCAGCTGCTCATCGCACCGGTGTTGCCATGGTTGCCATGCCGAGACACAGTGTTGCCGGGTTTTCTGCAAGTGGTCTATACAGCTAGACAGCCCACCGGACATTTAAACGAGGTCAATAATTTAACGTATGTTTAAAATGTGACTAATTTGATACGCTTGTGGGGCCTGCTTTTATCCGGTTCACATATTAGCGGACGGCATTATTACTTATCACTTCCCAAAGAAAGTGCCGCGGACACCTTTCATTAGCTCTCTTCAAAGGTTGTACAGCCGACGTTTTTCAAGAGGAAGCGACACCGCTATGTGGACTGCGTTCACACAGCGGCGTTGTGTGTCGCATTTTGGGGGGACCGTGGAGCCGCTCCAACTTTGTTGGCCGGTTTAGTAAACTTCTAGGCGGAAGTGCGTCGTCATATTTTACGCGTAGGCTTTTCAGATGATACGATGTATGACTGCGTTGTTTTCTCAACATCGAAATTTGACCGGCGTTGCCCTTTAAGCTACAGTCTCACATGATGACATTTAAGCCACAGTCAGGCATGGTGACAGGATTATCTCTGGACATGCATGTTGAAAGCATGTTTGCTTCGTTCATGCTTCGAACATGTCTTCAGACAATTCTCGTATGACCAATATGAACAAGTTTCTTCCTTGTATGATGGTCACATGCATCAGCCAGTGTCTGCAAACTGTCTTTTGTATCATGTAGTGGCAGTGTGACGGCGGCAAGAAAAAGCCCACAATGAACCCCCTTTCTTTTCCCTGCCACTGCAGCGCCCCCGACGCCCCGTCCACGGTCGACGACGACGTCTTCGACCGCGTCCCCTCCTGCGGGGTCCCCGAGGGACGAGCTGCCCGCTGGCCCAGAGCCCGACCGGCGGCTCCAGTGGGGGGCCGACGCGAACGCAACGCGAGCGGTGGCGGCGGGTGCGGCCCCGCCGACCCCGGCGCGACCGCGACCCCCGTGGGCTGGTCCCCCGTCTCCGACCACGACAACGCCGACGGCGCCTCCGCAGCTGCCGCCGAGGCGCTGGTTCCCGACCGTCTTCCCGCCGAGGCCGCCCAGACCGCCGGTACTCAAGACGTTCGACGTGCCGGTCGCGGACGGCAAGAAGTCTTCCAAGAAGACGCCCGGTACGCATCCCTCCCCTGGCGTCTCTCTCTTCAAACCCCACCTGCCAAATCGTTTTCTGCCTGGCAGAAACTCCTTCCCCGGTGTCTTTCCTGTCATTCCTTCTCGCGCTGTTTCCCGTTCCGTATCTTGGAGCTAAGCCAGGCTAAAGGCCCGTTCACACTATGTGTCTTATTATGACAGTGTTCTTGTTATCTCTTACGGTGGTAAAACAAACTGGCACTCTAACGCTATTTGTGAGGAACCGCATTTCACAAGAGCAAAGGTTTTACCTTACTTGCGAAATCAAATATACATACTATCAATGAGAAATGGTCGTTTATAACAATGTCAAAAAAGTTTTAGAGCCAAAAAGAAAGGAATGATGTGCAAAAAAATGAAAGACGTTCACAATTCCCTGTAATGCCGAATTACAGTAAGCTCTTGAGGAGGAGGAGGAAAGGAGAGTATCCTCTCCTCCTTTTACATGCCCTCCCCTCCCCCTCTTCCTCTCCTCCTCCTTCATTCTCTCCCTCCTCCTCTTCCCCTTCCCTCCGTCCTCCCTGGTGACGTCACTTGTGACCCAAAACCAAAAGCTGATACCTGATCCAGACTGATGAATGGGAAGTGTCTACTTTTCTGGAGCATGAATTTGCTTGAGCGAAAAAATAATAATCGGGTCACTTTTAGTTTACTCTGTTTTTTTTAATGAAACAACAGTAAGGTTTTAAGAAGACTATCTTCAAAGTCATCAACCATGGCCAGGGGCAGATGCAGGAATCTCCTGAGGGGGAAGTCTGGCGTTGGTCATCGTACCATATGTTTAGGAACCCCCTCCCCTCTCTTTCGTTTTACGCTCTAAATGTTACTCATGCGGAAATCAAGAGGGGGGTCAGGACATCTGGACCCCCCCTCTAAATCCGCCCGTGACCATGGCCCCCACGGTATTTTCCAGGCTCTCACTCTGATAATAGGAATAATAATTAGAAATTACACGTGGCACCTTTCTCCATAGGAGTTCTGTGGATGAGTGTCGTCTTCTGCACCTGAGTCGAGCATTTGAGTTTCGAGGAATATATTTCTGATTCTTTGACAGGAACTGGTTTATGTCTTGACATTTTGTGAGATAGGACCAATCATTCAAGTGCAACTTTGACAAGAATTTCAGCTAGCTTAGATCAGGTGCTGACGTTTCCGGCTCAATTTTCAGTTCACTTTTTATATAAGCCCCGAATTAAGGATACCCCAAGTTCAAAGTAAAAACAATTGTGACCAATTTTTTTCTTTTAGTAGGCAATAGATTAGATTCATTTTGGATAAGTTACTTTAAGAAAGTAATTTATTACAGTTGCAGTTACTTTCATAAAAAAGGAGGAAAGTTACCGTTGAAGCTATCAAAACAGGAAAAGAAACTCGTTACCATTACAATTACTTTAAAAAGTGGTGGCACTACTTTTTAGTTACTTCTTCATTACACAAAAACTCAAGAAGAAAGTAGAAAATGCTTTCCCCCGCCCCTTCCCCATCGCCATTACATTTACATCTGGCTATAGGCCGACACGCTGTTTACAAACAAGCCCTCGTTTGCCCACATCAGGTGTGGGCATTGCGCGTGCGCAGAAACCGAATTCACGTGAAGTGAATCGTCTGTGCATGCGCAGTGCCGTCGACAGCGCCACCGCAGCTGCGTGACGTCACGGCCGCGTGTTGGTCTATAGCCAAGCTGTGACTTGTGAGAAACTATGTATTGCCCCTCTGTATTGCTCAGCGAGGCAATTTGCGCTTCTTTGAATATTTGCACTACTCCCAATATTAATCAAATGAAAGAACAAAGAAATCCCTAATGTAAATACAACAATGAAGAACAAATATAGAATACAAAACATAATTACAATCATAATGAACATTAATAAGATAACTAGTTATCATAATAACAACAGAACTAGTCCATTATGGAAACAATTAGGTTAATGATTCACGAAACAAGATGAGGTCAGCAGCGTCTATCATAGAATTGGGAAGGTCGTTCCAATCACGGATGCCGGGTGGAACTGCTGAATTGATGAATGCATTCATTGTACTGGTTACACACTTGAAGGTTCTTCTGTTGGTGATTCAATAAAATCTATCTGGATGCTAGAGAGAAAAAAAAAAAAGAAACATTTGCACATTGATAGTAGAGTTTATGAAGGAGACAAAGAAGGGCAATTTTACAACGATTTTCGAGTAATGGGAGAGAACACTGATACTTGAGTGAAGAGACACTTATACGAGTAGCTTGATGTTATAAAGTACACCGCTCAATTTGGGATGGTTTCGATGCTTTTGGTTAGTTAGCTCTGTTGTGTAATCCAGATTTGTGAGGCCTATTGAAGTTTAGGGCAAATGTAGGTTTCATAAACTAGTTTAAAAAAGTGAGGATCGGCTAATTTAAGGTTATGCCTAATGTATCCAAGGGTTCGAGAAGGGTTTGCAATTACCTTGTTATCATGGGTGATCTATGAGAGGTTAGAGGGAAGGTGAACTCCTAGGTATTTATAAGAAGAAAAAATATTAATGGACATATTACAAGAGAATAGGAAAGGAAAGAAATAGACTTTTTGCGAGTAAAGGCAGTCATTTACAAGTTGACGCATATAGCGAACATGACACACAAAGTGTCAGGTCACATCTTTTGTAAATGCCAGGAATGGCTAGACTGTATTTGTTTAATGATACTTTAATTCTCAAGAAACTAAGAGAAGTAGGTATGAAAATAATATAATTTCATCTTTACTTCAGAAAAAGTAGCAGAACTACAGTTACAAGTTACATTTAGAAAAAGCATTGTGTTAGAGTTACCTAAAAAGTCGCAAAGTTACGGTTATATGTCTCAAGACTGGATAAGATTTGCCTGCATTCACACTCTGTCACTCGCTTCTCTGAGAGTCGAACATCTTTCTTCCTGATATCTCCAGATAATCGAGACAAGCTGCCAAACGAGACCAGAGCCAAGAATGAGGAGCTGGTGAACGGCGCGTCGTCAACGACGCAAGGCACCAGTCAAGTGCGGTGGATGGTAATGCTGCTGGCCACCCTGGTGGTTGCCCACTTCAGCGCTCCCTGGCCACGAACGAGATAAAACACTAGCGTTTCCAAGTGGCTCGGCAAGTTGTAGCGGAAATCTCGTGCCACTGACGTGCCAGCAGCCGGCAAAAAACGTTTAGAGGGCGAGTGAGAAACGCCACCAACGGCATTTGTTTGTGCGTGCATCCTGCGCTTTGGAAGGACTTCTTGACGGCTGAAGAACCATCTATGGTCATCGATATCATCTGGTCAATCATTGTGTTTGTGTTTCGGGAACAAGATGGCGCCGGCAGGAACAGCACCCCTTGTGTGACGTTATAGTGTGACATTTTCTAACCGCAAAGTGTGTGCACAACTAGGGTTTCTTGAGAGATGTTGGAGAAGACCCCATGTTGTGAATGTGGCAAGGACTTGCAGCGCAAACTACTTAGCGACCATCTTGTGTCTTGCCTGGAATTGACACACAACCTTTTGCGTTGTATTTTGTTTTAGTTTTCCTTTGGTCTCTGGCAGATGTAAGTTGTATGACAAACGGTCAGGACAAAAGGACCAACAAGAGTTGGTCATCTAGGTGGACCTTCTGTGATGTCACAAAGATGACGCTCCCCTGTCTTTGACACAGGAAAGGTCCACTCTTCGCTCACCCAAGCTGGCAATGGATAAGCAGCATTTCATTTCTTTTCTTTTTTTTTTTATTCAATCTCGAGTTGTGAGTGAGGAAGGAGCATCATCTCAATATTTAAAGTGACAGATAGCACTTGGTGTCATTTTTAATATGCATTTGCACATAGTGAACTGGTGTTAGTGGTTTCTGTGTGAATGATGCTTCTGTACATTGTACCCTCCTTGCGGTGTTGCATTTTTCCTGTACAGTGAGAAAATCTTTGTGGGCACCGCAGCAACATTATTCTCGCGGCCAGTAAGCTCTCGAGGACACCTAGAATATTTATTCGAGCTTTAAGAACCTCCGAACATGATGCATTTATGGAGCCAAAATGGCTCTCGGCAGCAAGAGATAAAGACAGATTTCGATCCGGCGGGAGTGGAGCTTGTGGCGTGTTTACTTTCTGGGCACACACGTTCCAGTGTGTGACGTCTGGAGGTGGGATGGGCCGTCCCGTTGCCTTGATGGTTTCCGAGACCGAGCTAGATGCTTTGTTTTTTGAAGCTCGCAGAGCTTCTGCTCTCGAGGTGGACCATTGCCATTATTTCAATATATTGTGCCAAAAGTAGCTGTAGGTGGTTACATCCTGAAGATTTCTCTTTAAGGGCATGCGTCTTTCCATGTTTGTAAGTGCCTTATAGCTTGTCTCGGCAGCAACAGAGCTTCTTTCTTCGAGAGGGCATTTTTAATGGCGCAACCACGGCCAGGACTTCTAGGAAAAGACGACCATATAACTGCCACTATTAGTGCATCATTGTTTTTCTTGTTTTACCAGTGTAGCCAGCCAAGTAAAAAAAAAAATTAATTTGAGTTTTGTTTTCACGAGCCACTTTAGCTATGACACATTGCCATGTGGAACAATTCTGGCAACTCTGTCCTGAGTGTGTGGAAAGTTGTGTATGCGTCAGTCTAGTATGCTTACATATAGATATAATGTACATAAAAAGGCTTTCTGTCTGTGTCTTCGTGGTACCCCGCCTGGACTTTATGAGGTGCTGCTCCCGCTGGATTGGAACTGTCTTGACTCGACTTTGTTTGGCTAGGTGCCACACTCAGTCTGAAAATTAGTATAAAATAATTTCTTCCAAAAATGTTGTTTTCTTGCATTGGAAAGAGATCTATTTCCTGGATACTGGTCTGCTGCCAGCATTAGCTGTTCTTTTCCCAGAATTTCTGGCATATGCTTTCAAAAGGCTTGCACATGGGATATAGATGTAATTTTTGACATTGAAATTCAAGATCTTTTTTCGTTTCAGAAATTCCAATATTATTTGGTATGTTTTGCATTTCAGAACGACATTCAGGTTGGCACTATCTAAATTTGCAATTCCATTGGCAGGGAAGAACATTACTTCCGAAGGTGATAATTTACCACAACTTGTTTTTGAGGCTTTTTGAAAACTAGAAGAAGAAAGCAACCCAGAAGCCATGTTTTCTTGACCTCCCACTGTCCTGTACACAAGAAGGAATCTGTTTGTGACACACGAGAACTTCAATGGGCTGCACTTGTGTCTTGTGCATGTGTGTGGTTTTAATATATTTATTTTGGAAACGGCGTGCACATGGAACACCTGAACATATATCTGTGCATGTGTGATATGTGTGTGTGCGTGTATGTGTGACAGTTTTTAGGAATACTGTTTCTGCTTTCGTTGATGGTGCATCTGTGTCAGCACGAGTGTTGGTAAGATGTAAAAAAGTATGGCACAAGCAGGAAACACGTTGCGCTTGTCTTTTCTGTTTATTTGCTAGGAACGTTTTTAATTTAATATAATGCAGCTTTTTTTTTTTCGTCTTCTTTCAGTGTAAATTTATTTTAGCTACTCGGTCAGTTTCAGAGGAGAGATTTGCTCTGGGACGTCTTCAATTTTTATTCATACGGTTACATTGCATTAGTTGAGTGAGAGTGCGAGAGAGCGGGGACTCTGTACAGACAACTCCTGAGTTTGTCCCAGTGCACCGAGGAAGAGCCCTCGGCTCAAGCATTGGGGCAGAAGCCCTTGTTTTAGTAGTGATAGGACAGGCAAACAAAAGATGGCCGATGCCATACTGTTTTATTCCTTGGCAGAGTTTTGTGCGTTGTTTGTTTTTCTTTGTATAAGCACAAACTAATGAGATTTAATAAAGACCTTTTTTTTTCTCCTGGTGAAATACGAAAGCGTATGATTTTGGTTCTTTTATAAATGCAAATCTCCGAAAGCCACGGCTCATACATCATACAAGACTTTTCGCTGCACACATGGCGACAGGATTATCTGCGTACACTCTTCAAACATGTTGGAATCATGTTTGCTTCGTACACGTATATGCTTGGAACATGTATGACAGGACAGTCGTACAAAGAACGTCTCGGGAAGTCTTTGCAGACTGTCTGATGTATTAACAGTGTGAGCGTGGGTTAAGAGTCCTAGCGCTGAGGCCAGGGCTTGTACCCAGGGTTGAGGGGCGGTGGCATAGTGCACGTGGGGAAAAACGAGGCTCTTACACTCCAGGTAAGTGCGATATCGGTTGTACGCTGCCAACACATTATTTTGAATTGTACCCGGGTTCACAGTTCTCCTATTGGTCGTTATCTGTTTTCGAGAGTCGCAGTCGCGGATATCAACTGCTCACTTGTTCGCTTTGGAACGCAGGATGACCTTTTCAGCCTCCGTCGCATGGGCGCTGCCATCTTGGAATCACGTGACGCGGCCGCCATAAGGTGGCTTCAACTCGTCGCTCCACTCTCCCCTCGAGAGACGACGACGAAGTGTTTTGTATGAGGAACGCCAAATCTTCCGCTCCCGGTAATTTCGATAATTCTTTTGCCTTGTAGTCTCCAGATACCTATAAATATTTGCGAACAAGGTATATATATATATATCAGTGTCCCAAACGCCGTATAGAAGCAGACGCACCTCGAAGGAATTGCAGCCTTCCATCGCTGCTCCCCATAGATGTGACCCGGCATGACATCGGCCCAAGGAAACGTCACCGACGTCGAAAATATGGCGCTTAGCATAACACCTGCACAGCATGCAACAGATGGAGCGCCCTCAATGACACCGATGGAAGGACAACCTGGTTCTTCTGACCTATCGAGGACATCGTCCTCAACTGAAATTGACGACATGGACCACGAAAACGACGCTGGAGGCATATGGCACGAAGTTCGAACCAGAAAAAGAACGCGACTCACAAACAGCCTGTCTGCTTCGAGCTCGGACACGATTATACGGCCAAAACCTGAGAAAGAGGGGCTCACGGTAATATTCGCTCCTGGGAATGCCGAAATGGTGCTTACAGATCTCAGTAGCCTGAAGGTATCAAAAGCACTAGATAAAGAATTCCCCAAATGCATTCGCGAGGTTCGGTTTAACCATCGACTAAACCTCATTGCAGTTGATGCGCTGAATGGAGAAGCTGTCAAGAAGTTACAAAGCATGACAACACTCTGCAGCATTCCTGTACTTTCCTATTCTCCCTTGGCTGGACCAACTGTTGTCGGACTGATTCATAGCGTCGACAACGAACTTTCTATTGAAGATATCACTTCAAATTTGAGGGCGGATGCAGAGATTGGCAGCGTACGACGGCTCGGAAACACCAGCTCTGTAAAAGTAACGTTCCGTGGAAACCGACTCCCATCCTACGTTCTGCTAGGGCATGTGCGCCACCCGGTGTCTCCGTTCAAGGCCCGACCAATCCAATGCTTTAATTGCTTTGGTTTTGGTCACAAACAGGTGGCTTGCAAACGCCCGAAGACATGTAGACACTGCGCACAACATCACGACCAAACGGACAGCACATGCCTGTCATTGTCGGCGAAATGTGTGAACTGTGGGCAAAACCACGAGGCCACAGCACGGTCCTGTCCGAAAGGAAGAGAGGTTGAAACGATTCAAACCTACTCGAAGGCAAACTCGGTAGACTTTCACTCTGCCAAAATAGCCTTAGAACACGAGGAACTTTTTCCGGCGCTTGAGCTCACTCCTGCTGACAGCAGTGTCACGAAAGAGCTGGCTGGTGCTTCTGGCTTCAAGGACATTGCAGGGAACAAGAACGAACACTCCAAAAAGCCGACCGCTTTGGCAACACCATATGCGTCGGTTCTCAAGGCAACTAAGCCCAAGGCACCAAAATCTCAAGGAGTTCGACAAGAATCAACATCACAGGGTATACAAATGCCTGCTGTGTCAGAAGCACCACCCCCCGAGACACCTCAGTCTGATTTGCAGCTATCAACTGTGCGCCAGCGCCGTCAAGTAAGGGAGGCGGATGCGAAGCCGTCAAGTTCCGGGGACTCTGCAGGATGGATTCCTTTAGTCAAGGCAGCAGTCAATATCGCTCTCACCCTACTTAGAAGCCTCAAAACATCCTGGGCAACGACACTAACTACCATGATACAAGCTCTGTTTCCCCTTTTTGAAGGATGTTAGTGCCATCGTCCTCTTATGCACAAGACTCGATCAGAGCGACCCCGGCAGTGTCTGTGCGTGCTGCACGTCATGGACGAAGAAATACCCACCTAACCTGTCCATCCATCCTCCAATGGAACGCGCGTGGCCTTCGAAGGCGTCTTCCCGACCTACGACAGCACCTGATTCATTCTCCTGCTGACGTCCTGGCCATTCAAGAACCGATGACGCGACCGGGCGATTTCAGGTTTTCCCCTTACGTCATTCACCACAGTACGCCAGCGCGAAAGGGAGGTCGTTCTCGAGCAGCGCTCCTTGTGACCGCAGGACTAGCACACAACCCGGTTGATCTTTCATTGTTCACCACAGAGAAAGCAGAATTTGCAGCTGCCACGATTGAAGTCCGAGGCGAGCTCTTCACTATAATTTCTGCATATGTCGCTCCTGGGCGTGCTAACAGCTGGGACGCGGGAGATTTAAATAAGACAGCGCTTAAATGCCCTGGCCATTTGATGCTCTGCGGTGATTTTAACGCACATAACTCTGCCTGGGGTGACAGGCGAACTACTGCAAGAGGCAGATCGCTCGAGTGTGTCACGTCTTCGCTTCACCTAGAAGCATTAAACGACGGCACAGAAACATATGTTCGCCGAGGTGTAAACGACAGTATTCTTGATCTATCCTTTGCCCCACCGGATGTAGCTGCAAACTGGACTCCACAACCCGACTCATGGGGCAGTGACCATATTCCTATCAACATTGTATCTCCCAACGCTAGTAAACCGAAGTACAGACGATGCAGGGTCACAAACTGGGACATGTACCGACGGCACCTTGACAGAGCCCTAGCAGCAGGTCCTCTGAAGGACCCAATCATAGCAATCGCAAATGCTCTTAGTCTCTCGACGAGGACGATAAAGGTGCCACTCTGGAGGCCAGCGCCAGACCTGGTATACTTAAACCTCCGCGCCGCGCGCCGGAGAGCTCAGCGAAAGGCACGAAGAACAAAATATCCAAAAGATTGGAATACTCACCACAAGATTGATGCCAAATTTCGTCGACATACAATTCGTCTTCAGCGAAAGCAATGGGGACAACTCTGCGCCTCCTTCGGATCGGCTGGCGGCCTTTCTAAAGCATGGAAAATAGCAAAGGCGTTGTCTTCCGCAAAGCAGATTCAACACCCCATATCCGGACTCGCCGTTGCACTTCAAAAGCCTCTGCAGGAAACGGTGGAACTATTGGCGGATGAATTTTCAAAAGCTATTCCGCTACCCCCAGGGTACCAAGAGCCAGAAACTCGCCCGTCTGATGCCTGCGCCCCCATGCAGCTAGATAACGACTTCACCAGAGGCGAACTAGAATACGCGCTACGGAAGTGCACGAAGCGCAGCGCTCCTGGACCTGATGGAGTGACATATCAGGCACTGAGAAACTTAGATAAGAGTCACCATCCCGCCCTCCTGGAGGCACTAAACAAGGTGTGGCGCACCGCAGAACTCCCGGATGTCTGGAAAGTCTCCCATGTGATTCCGATCCCGAAGCCTGGTAAACCTCACGCGTTGCTGTCATCGTACAGGCCTATCTCCTTGACAAGTTGCGTCGGTAAACTCCTTGAGCGCCTCGTTCTTCGCCGTCTCCCAGGTAGCACCAAAACATTATAATAATGTTATTTTTTTGTTTGGCCCAAATGTTTGAAATATGTCCTTAATGTCATTTTATTTAATATTTCCACAATGTTTATCTGTTCGTTAGATTAATGTTTTTCCATACGTTATTTGAACACACAGGAAACATTCCTTCAACATAAATTTAATGTTTGCAAAACGTTAAATTAACATTGAAGGAACATTCGAGAAACACTTTTACAACCGGTATGCAACGTTTGTAAAACATTAAATTCACATCAAAGAAAATGGTACTGCTACACTAGCAGAATATCCACAAAATGTTAGAAAGATCTTTTCAGTTGACGAAGACAAAAATATTATAAATCAGACGCAACCGCTACCCATGCAGTTACGCCTCTGCTGTGAACAAGGCGAACTGCATGGGTAGCAACTGCGTCTGATTACAATACTTTTGTCTTCAACTGAAAAGTTCTTTCTAACATTTTGTGGATATTCTGCTAGTGTAGCAGTACCATTTTCTTTGATGTGAATCTAATGTTTTATAAACTTGCATACCAACAAAACTGCAGGTAGTCAAAGCTGAAAGAAGGGTGTTGGAAAGGAACCTCCTTGAAACCCAACGACAGGCAGTGTTTCACTACAGACATGGCTTTTCTGAGGGCTGAAAAAGCTAAGACTTGCAACAAAATATTGCGTCCTGGGTCTTCGAGGAGGTCCTTTTTCACATACATAGCAATGTTTTCCAGAAGATGAACCACCGGACTCCAGTGCGCAATACACATAACGGGAGAGAATTGACTGTATGCACCTTTTGAAGAAGCTTGATCGTAGCATGTCCGTTAACTGAGGAAAAGAATGTTTGTGAAAGGCACAATATTGCACACTATTAACAAAAACGCTAGAATTAACAAGCTCCTTTTCATCACAGCACATATTGAGACGAAATAATTGCAATTTACTACCCTTGCAAAGATGAAATCAGTCAGGTACATGTACTAAAACATTTATTGTTTCAAATTAAACCAAAAGCATATACATACGAGTAAGGATGCTGCTAGACTCAGCTGTTAAAATGACAAGCCAATAACTTAAGACAAATCTGTATGTACTACAGAAACAAGCTTG